ATGCCATCTCACACCAGTCAGAATGACTATTATAAAAAGGTCAAAAAATAACAGATGCTGGTGAGGTTACAGAGAAAAGGAAATGCTTATACACTGCCAGTAGGAATGTAAATTAGTTCAGCCATTGTGGAGAGCAGTTTAGTGACTTCTCAAAGAACTTAAAACAGAATTACCATTCGACCCAGCAACCCATTAGGTATATCCCCAAAAAACTGTAAATCATTCTACCGTAAAGACAAATGCATGTGTTATGTTCATTGCAGCTCTATTCACAATAGCAAAGACATGGAATCAACCTAAATGACCATCAACAGTAGACTGGATAAAGACAATGTGGTACATATATACCATGGAATACTATGCAGCCATGAAAAGAAAGAAGTCATGTTATTTGAAGCAACATGGATGGAGCTGGAGGCTATTATCATAAGCGAAATAACACAGGAACAGAAAACCAAATACTATATGGTCTCACTTATAAGTGGGAGCTAAACACTGAATACACATGAACACAAAGAAGGGAATAGACACAGGGGCCTACTTAAGGGTGGAGGATGGGAAGAGGACAAGGATCCAAAAACTGCCTATTGGGTACTATGCTTATTACCTGAGTGATGAAATAATCTGTTCGACCAAATCCCCATGATACACAACTTATTAATACCTATATAACAAACCTGCACATGTACCTCTGAGCCTAAAAGTTAAAAATATATATAAATTAGGCCGGGCACAATGGCTCACATCTGTAATCCCTGCAGTTTGGGAGGCTGCATTGGGCAGATCATTTGAGGTTAGTTCTACACCAGTCTCACCAACATGGTGAAACCCTGTCTCTACTAAAAATACAAAAAAAAAAAAAAAAAAAAAAAAAAAAAAAAAATTTGCCGAATGTGGTGCCTGTAGTCCCAGTAACTTGGGAGGCTGGCACAGGAGACTTGCTTGAACTCAGGAAGCAGAGGCTGCAGTGAGCCAAGATCACGCCACTGCACTCCAGCCTGGGTGACAGAGTGAGACTCCGTCTAAAAAAAGAAAAAATTAAAACATCAAGATTTGTGTTTTTTAAAAAAGATTCCACAGGGTTGGTTTTTTTTTTTTTTCCATGTTTGGATTTTTCTTTTCTTCCTTTAAGATGGTAAATTAAATGAAGTTTTATGAGAGAAAATGAGTCTAAAAGAGAAAAAGTGGCTTTGGACTTGCTTTTGAATCTCATTTTGTATCTCCAGGTTGCAGAGCTCTAATTCTTGTCAAAGTAAGACCTGCCCTCTCTCCAACCCTTTAGGGCAAAGCAAAATAAAATTATTTATTTAAATTGTGCTGGGAGCAAAGTCAACCAGGGAGGCACCCTGTGCCCTTTAAGAAGTAGGCTTATTCCCCTCACCAGATATGACATGTTAGAGCCAGAACTGCTGCTGGATATTATCTAGTGGTTTTGAAAGTATACCTTTTAAATCCTGAAACACTTTGTTCAAATACCATATAGTCTGATGATAAAAAGGTAAAATAGAAAACCCAAGTGTTGTGGATATAGGGGCCTAGAGTCCCACATTACTAGGAGTTTTGCTTCTCTTCTTTCTCTGGGGCTGTGGGGTGAGGATTTAGGGGACATTGATTTGATCCAGTCTCCTTTTAACACAGATAGGAGGAAATGAGAACAGATAGGGGCAGTGATATGTTTAATGTCACACATATTGCCTGATTAAAATAGTTCAGCTGACACATCCATAAAATAATTATAGTTTTCTATTGATTAGAAGTATATGTTGGGGAAATACTAAAGAAAGAAGCAATAGAAAAGAATGACGAAGAGAAGTGAGACCCCACATTTGAGATTCCAATGTTATCACCCAAACCTATTCTTTCTACACCAAAATAAACTTTATAACAGAGGGATGGCTTAGGAAACAGGATTTTCTTTTATATTTTTCTTCAATTGGGTTTTTCTTAAATTTGGAGATATTTTGGAAAACTTTTGAATATATAGAAAAGTATAGAGTATAATATACGAAACTACCATGGACATATTTTTGTTTAATTTTTCATCTTCTTTGCTATATATGTATGTGTGTGTGTGTGTGTGTGCACATGCACACGTGCATGTATGTGTGGTGTGTGTGTATATGTGTGTATGTTTTATATATATATATAAAGTTAAAGTCCTCTCTGTATTTCTTTTCAATTTCTTTCCTCTTTCTTCCTGTTCCTAGAAGAAAACACACTCATGAATTTGGTCTATACTCCTATAGTGCAATAAATATATTTGTTTGTTTGCTTCTCTTATCCATAAAATAGACTTTTATTATCAAAGTATTCATTAAAATTAAGTTAATCTTAACATAGTTTTTATACCTGCCTTAAGATAATAAAAAGATTTATTTGCTGACAGGCTATTTTAACAACCTCAAACTTTTGAACTAGATTCTTGAAAATAAAGATGCAGGCTGGGCGCAGTGGCTCACGCCTGTAATCCCAGCACTTTGGGAGGCCGAGGCGGGTGGATCACGAGGTCAAGAGATCGAGACCATCCTGGTCAACATGGTGAAACCCCGTCTCTACTAAAAATACAAAAATTAGCTGGGCATGGTGGCGTGTGCCTGTAATCCCAGCTACTCAGGAGGCTGAGGCAGGAGAATTGCCTGAACCCAGGAGGCGGAGGTTGCGGTGAGCGGAGATCGCGCCATTGCACTCCAGCCTGGGTAACAAGAGAGAAACGCAGTCTCAAAAAAAAAAAAAAGAAAAGAAAAGAAAAGAAAGATGCCTCAGATTTATTGAAATAACTATTGCAACTCTACTATTATTTTTTATTTTATTCTTTGGATCCTGTGCAAAGCCTGACTGACTTAAGCTTACTCAACTTCTTTTTTTTTTTTTTTTTTTTTGAGACGGAGTTTCGCTCTTGTCACCCAGGCTGGAGTGCAATGGCGCGATCTCGGCTCACCGCAACCTCCGCCTCCTGGGTTCAGGCAATTCTCCTGCCTCAGCCTCCTGAGCAGCTGGGATTACAGGCACGCGCCACCATGCCCAGCTAATTTTTTGTATTTTTAGTAGAGACGGGATTTCACAATATTGACCAGGATGGTCTCGATCTCTTGACCTCGTGATCCACCCGCCTCGGCCTCCCAAAGTGCTGGGATTACAGGCTTGAGCCACCGTGCCCGGCCTCAACTTCTTAAATTGGGTTTGGTTAACTGAGCTATAAGATAGAAAAGGCTGTTAAAGTCAGAGCCCACGAAAGCAGACACAACAGCAAAGGTGATAACTGCTGTCTGAAACGAAGGAAGTAGTAAAAGACATGGAAACTGATTACCTGTATACATGATATTAAATAGAGAAAATATTAGGTAGGCAGAAATGTAATATATTTTAGAAATGTAATAAATTTAATATGTTTCCATAAAAAATCATTGAGATTTATAAAAATTTCTAATGCTTGGGGGCTCTGGTAGTTACCTAGTCCAATTTTGTATGCTGGTTCTATTATTTACTAATTAGATTACTAATTGAATGATAATAGTGCCTACTGCATAGAAATCCTGTGAAAAATAAGTGAGATAATCCACTTAAGATATTAGGAAAATAGCTTGGCAAGGAGTGAGCACTCAGTGCATGTTAGATGTGAGTAGCAGTAGCAGCAGCAACAGCAGCAGCTACAGGAGCAGTAGAATAGCACTATTTGAAAAACCAACCCATGCGGAAGTGTTCATAAGTGAACTTGCAGACAGCACAAACTCCGGAGCCTCACTCTGTCACCTGGATCCTTTGTACCCTTTTACCAACTGGGTGGGCCTGGGGACAATAGCAGCACATAGGTTCTGCCTGCTATGAGGGTTCAGGGGGTATGAAAGGTGCTTAGTGCCATGCATGCAGGACATGCTCAGTCAATATTAGCAGTTACAAATATTCTAGATAAATTATGCCTTAGCGTTTGTTAACATCCTATTTTTAACATGCAGAATCAGGCTCACAATTTTCTCATAGTGAGACGTCAAGGAAAGCAAATGGAGGGATCTAATTGTACTGACTAGTTTACCTAGGAGCAATATGTCTAGGTACAGAGGGACTGTATGAAATCATTGATGTAAATATAGCCCTATGTAGGCACAGCTCTGCAGGCATAAAATGTGACCCAAAAGGTGGGCTGTTTTTCCTCGAAAGCAGATGGCTAAGATTCCTCTGAAATTCTTACTGATAAGAAGATCGCCAGGAAAGAGAGGCCTATAAGATACTCTTAAGAATGGACCAATAAGTTATGATAACAAGTACTTTATGGTTCCAAAACACTTTCAGACACATTAACCCATCTGATCCTGGCAGCAATGCTATGTGAAAGAAGGTATTATCCTCATTTGTCAGAGGAGGAAAGTGAAGAACAGGTAAGTAAAGTGACTTGCTCAAAAGAGAATCCAGTGCATTCCTACTTCAAGTTCAGGACTTTTATACCCATGTACGGTCTTGTGGAATGTTCCTTCCTGGCATATACTTGCCATATTGTGGGGCTATTTCATTTTTCTGATGTTTTTGTTACCTTAGTTGTTAGGATCAGCTTAACTCTAAATCCTATACTCTTACTATAGCGTACATGCAGTATGTTGCATGTGTGTGCATCCTATATGCATGCACGCATGCAAGCACATGCTCAGTGACAAGTGCATTTATTTTTCACATTTTATTTCTTTTGAAGTGTACTTTTAAAAAATGAAAATCTTTGGCTGAGGTGGAAGATTGATATGATTCAGCCGAATTTTAAGGATGCTAAGTCATTTGTTTGGACTGAAGCCTGAGAAGTAATTCAGTCCCAAAGAAGGTAAAAAAGGCTTTTCACTTTAAATGAACCATTTCTTTTTCCTGAAACCATGATCTCATTTCTTTTACAAAGGAAGTAGGAACTTTTGTTGCCATCTCCAGCTGTCAAGCAGTCACCCATACTTTTGCCCTGCAGCAAAAGGAAGGGACATCAGGTGACAGACCCCAAATTTCAACCAGTCACACAAATTACAGACCTTCCTATCATGATGTCCTCTTGACCTGCTTTTCCCCTAAAATGAAGAATGAGATACAGTTTAAATCAAAACGGCTCTCATGAGCAATTTTACAAAACAAACAGAAGGCTCAGAGCCTCACCCCCTTCCCCACTTTCCCCACTGGGCCAGCCTGTTCTCTCTTTCCACACCAAGACCAAGTAAATATTTACAAAAACAACTATAATCAGATGCCAAGTCCCACTTCTCACGGACACTAGTGTGGCACTACATTGCCTTGTGGTCGAGTCTGATCAAAGGTCTCTACTGGCTCTATCATGAGGCTTGGCATAATGAAGTCCTTCTCTTAGTCTTTTAACTTCCATGCCCAGGACACTTCCCACAAAATATATGAATAATTACATTTACCATTGAAGAGTCAGTTTAGAAATGCTGTACCAATCTGGGACCACAAGAAAAAGTCATTAAATATTACTGCTTTCAGCAGTTGGGGAAAGCTTTGTGAAGGCAACAGAGGAAATTAAAACCAGGGATCATTAGCGTTCAGAAAATATGTCATTATTTAAAACTATTTTTTTCGAGGAAAACCATTTACTGGCTAAAACCTAGTCATAATATTTGTATTACCTGTAGATCTATTATCTATAAAACTGTGGGACCTGAGCGCTCCAACAGGGTGAGAACGAAAACAGGTGCCTCTGCCTGTTTCTATTATGCACATTAGCCCATGGCCTTCTCACAGCCTGTTAACAGCTGAATTTGAAACAATAATGGTGCAGCCAAACACTTGCCTGAAGGCCTGTCTGTCTTGGGATTTGGCCATTTACATCGATTTTCTTTACCCGCATTTTTCATGAAACACAAATATTTGCCATGGCAACTGGGGTGTCACATGACATGCTGCTACATAAATGGCCTGGAAATCTCTTAAGGGGACACAGCCCACCAGTGCCAAAAATACAGTGAAACCTCGATGATTTCAGTATTGAAAGATGAAGGTCTGGGAAGAACAGGTAGCAGTCTATTATGAAGAGGCAGTGGGATTAATTTCTCTTGCATCACTCTTCAGTTTCTCTTTCTTTCTTTTCTTATGAGAACAGCTGAAAACATGACCACATACGGTAAGCCAGAAAAAGACAGTGCCAGCTGTCTCCTTTCTGTGGTGAAAAGTTTCAAAGAACGGAAGTCTGTCTGCAGCCCATAAACATAAGAAAGCAAGGTAGAAAAGTCCAGCACATTTAAACTGGGGGAATCTCCACAGGGATGAATTAGGTTGTACTGTGACAGGGATGAATTAGGCTGTACTATGACGAGCTACTGTTAATGAATACAGAATTCAGCCCAGCATGGTGGCTCACACCTATAATTCCAGCATTTTGGGAGGCCGAGGCAGGTGGATCACTTGAGGCCAGGAGTTTGAGACCAGCCTGGCCAAAGTGGTGAAACCCTGTCTCCACTAAAAATTCAAAAATTAGCTGGGCATGATGGTAGGCACCTGTAATCCCAGCTACTTGGGAGGTTGTGGCATGAGAATCACTTGAACCCAGAAGGCAGCGGTTGCAGTGAGCCAACATTGCGCCATGGCACTCCAGTCTATGCAACAGAGTGGGTGAGACTGTGTCTCTAATAATAATAATAATAATAATAATAATACAGATTTCTTTCCCCTGCTTCATTAAGGTATTCTGTGTTTGGAGATCTTGCCTTTTTAGCCTGTGTGTGAAGACAAATGAAATACAGTAGAACCTCACAATAAGACATCCTATACCACACAAATTTGGATACAAAGCAATAGCTACTGTATCCCAGATTCCTGGACTCCTGACCAGTTAGTATTAGAGGCTGACCCAGTCATTTAATTAATTTTGCAATGATGCAACATGATTGAAAATTTTAGACCCCGCAGATAACATCATGCTAGAGTTGACGTGTACAATTCCCCTTTTGAAAGTCAAATGTATACTAGCAGCAGCTGAAAATAGCACTTATTTCTATGTTGAAGGTACAACTCAATAACATGTGTAAAACTCTCACAGATAATGTTGTAAATAAGAACAATTTTTTTTGTAGTGAGGAATATGAATACCTTTGAACTCTGTTTCTTGGGAAAGAACTTCACTTCTGCTGGAGGTGGCAGTGGTTCCTGAGGTACGGTGAAAGAGACTGTGGATGAAGACGGTACATGTTACTTTTTCCAGAAGAAGAGGCTGAGTCAGTGGTTGGATGCTATTGCATTTGCACCTTGAAAGTCAAATGACTCTGTCACCCACTGTACATTCACTACCTTTCTTTCTGTATTCATTCATTCAATGAAACAGCTATGATCACTGACTTTAAAAGGAAGCCACCAGCATGGGAGGGCAACGGTTCTAGTAGAATATAAGGTCAGCCCACCTTATGCAAACTGCTGAGATGAAAAGGCAAATTTTAAAAGCAGGCAAATTAGAGAGTAATATCTGTCTTATAAAATGCTTTGTAAGATTTCTTTAAATAGCCGGATTCCCAGGTTCACGTAAAAGGTGATTTAATATAGCTACATATGGACTATTCTACTGTATTAAAAAAAATTCTAAAAAATTGGAATGACTTAGGGAAATAATACAAGTGAAAAGCACCATAAAAATTATTTTTGAAATTAATTAAATCTATAAGCAACAACTTTTAGAGAATACACCTAGTCCATGGTTAGAGAAGAATGGACCCACATGCTAGACAATGCTTTCTCAGTCACATCTCTCCTATTGCCTGGCAGCAAAGCTGACTGTCCTTTACCAAAGATCCAAGTCTGACATTCTCAGGAGAGAAAAATCCATATACTACTCTTTCCAAGAAAGAGAACAAATAATTTATTTAAATTTTTTAATTGAATAAAAGAAGTGAGGCTTCTTTCAGCTCAATTCCTTCAGCTCCAACCCCCTTTTCTGTCAGTTTTCTATAACAACAATCTTAGAAGGAATTGACAGATATTGATCAAAAACAGCACACTAGTAAAGGATATCAATATATAATTTAGAATCTCACTTTGAGGACTTGATTCTCTCAGATTGCCTCAACTGAGTTGCAAGGAGTATCTTCAGCTATCTTATAAAAAGTAGGAAAAATTGCAGAGACTTTTCAGTGAAACTCACCTTCACAAAAGGGATTTCTTTGTTGCATTTGATCAACCCATATTTACACCTCTCTAGTTTCCCCGGCTTCCAGCAAGCTTCCCTGTGACTTGTCGTCCTCACTCTCCCCTGGCCAGTAGTGTATGAAGACTCCATTTTAAGGCTATAGTTTTTGCCTTACGTCTATGCTCTCCTTCCCTGGTGTCCAATCTGGAGTTTGCTCTCCCACTTTTGAAGGTAAGTCCACATCCTTTGTCCAGCCTGCTTTGAATCCACAGATTCACCAGTAAAATGTGTTATTCTCATTGTCTGCAGACTCAGTATAATTTTTGTTTAACTTTCAGGTTCTTGCAGGCAAGTGAGATTTATGGCTAAATTCCCATGTTCAAACAAAACAGCAGCTGAGAAATTTTCAAGTGGGCATACCTTTTAAGGATTTTAGTAAAATTTTAACACAATTTGGCAGGATAAAGAGCTCAAGGACAAGTAATTCCACGTGGCTAATCCACAGTTAATGACATCGGTAAGAATTTTCTTAGTTGTCTGCAGAAATGCTATCACTAAATTATCACTTCATGTGGCCTTGGATTTTACGAGACACATGCATTTGAAGAATGTGTCTGCATGTTTACAAAACTGTATCCTAGGGCACTGCCTATTTTGCTACTCAATTTCCCTGCTGGAAAAATCTGTTTGGTAAATTTTTCCAGGGTTAATATCAGAGGAAAAAATCCTTGTATTTCTGGACAAACTTGTATGCTTCTGTGGTAGTTATTACTAATTTTAGAGTCCCAATTTTTTCAGAGTGACATTAAGCCCAGCTCCTAGCATTTCAGATTAGAAGAAAATTTTATTAAAAAAAGAACGTACAGTAAAATTTTAACTTAAGATAAACAGTAAGTTTTCAGTAAGTCTTAAATATTAAATATATTTAATATCCAACAAAGAAGAACAGAATTTCCATGAATGGATTAGACTAGTATAACATCATTCTAAGTATTATTTAGTGTGTTTGTAATCCAACATCTATCCAGGGATAGCGCTAACCCTATCCCTGGACATTGACTTTCCCAGCCTTTCTTGAGGCTAACAGTGCACAGTGAGATGTAAGAGAAAGTCTACCCCAAGGCTTTTGGGAAGAGACTGGCACTGTATGTCTAAGACCCAGAGCTGCAGAAGCCATCTTATGGCCATGAGGCGGCAAGCATGAGGATGAAATCAAACATACCAAAGAGGGTAAAGTAAAAAGAACACCATGACAACCCTGCTGATCAGTGCCACCTGCCCTAGGATCCTCGCTTCCCAATTTCTTGGGTACAAGACAAACTCCTCATTGTTTAGGCCACTGGTAGTTTTAGATATATGCATTCCTGACTGGTACTACCTGTTCCCTTATCTTCCTCCTTCCCTCTTCTCATCCTTTCATACTTTGTCTTATTGCATGTGCTAGAACCTCAGTACAAACATGGTGGTAACAATGATCATCCTTGACTTGTCTCTACTTTTAATGGAGAAATAGAAAAGGAATGCTTCAAAAGTTTCCCTACTAAGAGTATTTTTTGCTCTATGGTTTTCATTGGTAACAATAATCAGGATCAGAAAATTATCTTCTATTCTACTCCCTCCAGAGGATTTTCCCTTATCATGAATGTTGAATAGCATTAAATGATTTTTTACTTTTGGCATATATTGAGATAATCATGAGGTTTTTCTTTTTAAATGTGTTAATACAGTGAATTATATTGCTAGATTTTTCCAACGCTGAACTTTCCTTACATTTTTCCTTGATGACGACGAACATTTAAAAAATGCTAATATTTTTTAGAATCTTAGCCTGTATGTTCCTAAATAAGATTGATCTATATATATTTTTTCTTGAACTGTGCTTTTTCAATTTTGGTAGCAAAGTTATAATAGCTCCACAAAATAAGCTGATAAGCTTTTCCTCTTTTTTTCCCCTACGAAATAGTATAAAAAGAATTAACTGACCCTGTAAGGTTGCCAATAAAAGGCCTGAGGCTTTCTCTCCTCTGGCATATTACAGTATGTGAGTGTGTGTATGTGTCTGTGTGTTTAAAAGACAGAGATATTTCTGACTACCGATTCAAATTATCTAATAATATTGTTTTAAGTTATTTTTTTTTCTCAAGTTATTTTTGGTAGTTTAAATTTTTCTAGAAAATTTTCACTTCATATATTAAAATGTATTGGCATAAAGTTACCATGCTATGATTTTTAAAAACTTCTACTGTATCTATAGTCAACGTTTTCATTTTAATATTATTTACTTGTGCCTTCTATTTTCCTTTCTTTATCATTATTGTCAGAGATCTGCCTGGTTTATGTTCTTTTAAAGAAGCCAATTTTTGATTGGCACAGTGGCTCATGCCTGTAATCCCAGCATTTTGGAAGGCCAAGGTGGGTGGATCACCTGGCCTCAGGAGTTCGAGACCACCCTGGGCAAATGGTGAAACCTTGTCTCTACTAAAATACAAAAAATTAGCTGGGTGTGGTGGCATGTGCCTGTAGCCCCAGCTACTTGAGGGGCTGAGGCATGAGAATCTCTTGAGCCCTGGAGGTGGAGATTGCAATGAGCTAAGATTGCGCCACTGCATTTCAGCTTGGGTGACAGTGAGACTTCATCTCCAAAAAAAAAAAAAAAAAAAAAAAAAGCCAATTTTTAATTCTTTTTGGATATTTTTGTTTTTATTTTCTTACTGTCTGCTTTTATTTTCATTATTTCATTTTTTTCTAGTTTACTGCTTTTCTGTTTCTGTCTTCTTGCATTTAATTAGGCTTAGGTCATTTATTATCAATTGTTCTTGTTTTCTATTAAATGTATATAAATAATGGATGAGGCTGTCCAGAAGTGATGAAAGATGTTGGTCTACAGATTAAAGAATCCCAATAAATACAAAGCAGGATAAATAAAAAGACCTATATACCTAGATGCATCACAATTAACCTACAGACCACCAAACATAAAAAGAACTTATATGCAGCTAGAGAGGAAACAAAAGACAAATTGTTTTCATCTACAATTTTAGCCACTATTTACCACTCCTCAATGGTCCACAGGCTCTTCCATAGCAGATATAGTTGCTAGAAAACAATGAAATAATATATTGACTATGCTGATAAGATAACTTTCAAAAGTAAGGACATAACACATTTTGAGGCAAATAAAAGCTGAAAGAGCTTACCACCAGCAGAAAAAGACTTACACTAGTGGAAATTTACGAATAAAATTTAGGCAGAAGGAAATGAATGCAGTATTGAAAGTATTGAGATGCAAGAAGGAATGAAGAGCAAAGACAGTGATAAATCTGTTAGCTAATATAACAAATATTGATTACATGAAAAACATTAACAATAACGTCTTGTGGGGTTTTTTAAAAGACACAACTAAAATACAAAACAAATGGGAGTCTACATCATGAGGGAGTTGGAGTTAAAATGTTCTAAAGTTTGTTTGTTTGTTTGTTTTTGAGATATAGTTTCACTCTGTTGCCAGGCTAGAGTGCAGTGGTGCGATCTCAGCTCATTGCAACCTCTGCCTCCTGGGTTCAAGGGATTCTCCTGCCTCAGCCTCCCGAGTAGCTGGGACTACAGGTGCATGCCACCATGCCCAGCTAATTTTTTTTGTTTTTAATAGACATGGGGTTTCACCATATTGGCCAGGATGGTCTCAATCTGACCTTGTGATCCACCCACCTCAGCCTCCCAGGATACTAGGATTACGGGCATAAGCCACTGCATCTGGCCAAAATGTTCTAAGGTTTTTATATTGTTAAAGGGAGAAGATTTCAAACACTTCATGTTCTCACTCATAGGTGGGTGTTGAACAATGAAAACATATGGACACAGGGAGGGAAACATCACACACTGGGGTCTGTTGGGGGAATAAGGGAGGAACAGTGGGGGGGTAGGGAGGTTGGGGAGGGATAACATGGGGAGAAATGCCAGATATAGGTGATGGCGGGGGATAGAGGCAGCAAAGCACATTGCCATGTATGTACCTACGCAACAATCCTGCATGTTCTGCACATGTATCCT